CAGTCAGCTCTTTCCTTCTACAGGTGGGACCTGGGAACTGAACTCATGTCATCAGGGTTGGTGTCAAGTGCCTTTCCCCACTGAGCCACCTCACCCGCCCTTGTGAGCTTTAAGCTATCACTTACCAAGTAAGTTACACTCATGGAGGAGAGAAGGCTGAGGTCACTTAAGACAAGAGATCAAAGTTGACACCCGAGGGGCTGGAGAGATGACTCAGGGATTAAGAGCACTGGCTGCTCTTCCAGAGGTCCTGAGTTCAATTCCCAGCAACCCCATGGTGGCTCCCAGCCATCTAGAATGAGATCTAGTGTACAATTCTGGCGTGTCAGCCTACATGCAGGCAGAACACTATATACATAATAAATAAATCTTAAACAAACAAAGTTGAGAACCAGAAAAGTGGCAGCACCTGATATATGTGCCTGTTACACGGAGTGATAAGTGTGTACACTGTCTGCTGTCTATCGTCACAAACATATCTGAACTTACCAGGCCCAACTGGGAGCCGTTATACAGTCCAGCCTCGGGATACAGTACAAGAGACCCGGACTAAAGGATGTGCAACTCAATTACTGAACCTTGTCCGAGGAAAACCATGCGTTATTAACAGCTGAGCACACTTTCGTATGGATTACACGTTAGATGACCTTGCGGTACGTCTGGGACGGAAGAGACCAGAACACGTATGTAGCCCAGGATGGCCTCAAACTTGTGGTGATCCCCTTGCCTCAGCCTCTCCCATGCTTGAACTACAGGTGCTTGCACTGGACTTTTAAAAGAGCAGTCTTGAACCCATAGAATATTCAAAAAGTGGGAGAAAAAGTGGGGGGTGCCCTCAGGGACACTCAAGGCTGAATCTTGAGTGAAGTGTCATAACAGCTGCAATTTCAAGTAGTTCAAGAGAGTGAGAGAGAACGCGTGTGGCAAAGTATTAATGACTGGCGTTGCTAGCTGACATTTTTTTTTTACCTTTTCTAAATATTAGAAATTTTAAAGAGAGAGAGAGAGAGAATGTGAAAGGATATGCTAAACTACCCAAAGAACTTGGGAGCAGGCTTTAAAAGTAAAATTATACCAGAAAGCCTGGTATGGTGGCATTGATCTCAGAGATGGGAGGAGAAGGGCCACCAACCCGAATCATTTTGGCCTAACTAATTAAAGCAAGCTTTTTTACTCATGTACACCAGCTGCCTACCCATAAGGTGGGGTTCGAGAGATCAGCATTAGATGTGAGGAAGACAAGGCTTTTATAGCTCAGGGATAGGGGGTTTCCCAAGGGGAGACTCAGGGGCAAAATTGGTGTGGTTGCAGGAGCAGAACAATAAGCATAACAAGTTAGTCCTCCCCAAAACAAAGACATGGCTGCAAGGTGGGCATAGCAAGGCAAGTCAGAGGTGGGCGTATAACCTTCCGAAACCAAGGTACGGTTGTGAGCAACTTTTTGAAACAAAAACGTGTTTGATGTCTCCTGGAAGAGGCGGTACAGAATCATTTGTAGTTAAGGTTACAGGCGGGGCACAGACCAATCCTTGAGGGACAGGTTTAATCCTAAACAGGAACGAACCTAGCTTGACTTTACTGGAAGATGGCTTGTGGATGCCAAGATGCAGGCCGGCTGCTTCTTCAGTGGCTCGCATCTGAAATCCCAACACTCAGGCGCTGGCAGCAGGAAGATTGCAAGTTCAAGTCCCTGTCTCTGAAAAATGACAATGCTTCTGGTGGCTTCTCTTGGCACCATTTCTCTGAGGAGACTGGTGTGGAGTGTTTTGGTTTTGCCCTGACTGTTCACAGAAGGCTGTTTTGCAGCCACAGCCCTTCCTCTCCCTGGCTGTACTTTGCAAGTGGCTGTCAGGAAACAGCACCCGGGGCCCTCACCAAAAAGAAAGTTCCCACAGGAGACCCTCGGGCTCAGCCCTTCCTCCTTCCCAGGACAATGCCTGAGGCCGCACTGCCACTGCCAGCAGGAAATGCCTGGGAGAAGCGAGGTGGCCCACTGCCCAGAAGGGCAAGAGCTTGAGGGCTCTGGTTAGGTTTTCTTTTCAGCAGAGTCTGAACAGCTGCCAAAAGCAGAGTCTGAGCTCCCAGGACTCTGGGAGGAGCTTCCAGGAAAGGACAAGTTAGAATGCTGTTGGTCCAACCTGTCAGAGGTGTTCTCCTTGGGGACAGTCTGACCCTTTCCTGGCTGCAGGCTGTCACTCTTGTCTCATCTCTCACTGGAGCCAGGGGACCCTGGCTGTTTCTCAGGAGGCCATTCCCTCCCTGTTTTAAAAATGGCCTTGTGTGGCTGGAGCTGGGACGCCAGGCCAAAAGCATGGGATGGGCAACCCCCTGTTCTGCCGCTGACACCAAGTGCTGGAACTTTGGGAAGGAAAAGCAAGGGTTTGGCTCTTGACCAGTTCAATTAGACACAAGTGGAAGTAGCGAGTAGAGAGAGAGCTGAGAGGGAGAGTCTGAAGAATGAGAGAGGTTAATAAGCCAGAGGAAAGAGACAACTAGACAGTGCAACCCGCTAAGGTGGAATCAGGCAGAGACAGGGAGCCTGTGCAACAGAGTGATGAGAACCAGCTACTCACCAACTCTGAGCCTTACCGCATGGAAGAACCCAGCCAGGTGCCCATACCTACGGTCTCAAAGCTGAAGCAGGAAGATCTCTGTGAATTACAGGGCACTCCACCAGGCATACGGACTTGCAGGCCAGCCTAGGCTACATAGTAACAACTTGTCTCAAAAAAAAAAAAAAACAAGCAAAAAGGAAGCTTGGGTGCTTTGGAGCACATCTTTATGTGTGTGTTTGTTTTGCTTTGCCTTTGAGGCAGGGTTTCTCTGTGTAGCCTTGACTACCCTGGTCTCAGAGATCCGACTGCCTCTGCCTTGGGAGTGCTAGGATTAAAGGCATGCACCACCACTGCCTGGCCAAGGTGGTGCACATCTTCAATCCCAGCGTTGGGAGGCAGAGACAGGCCAACCTCTGTGAGCTCAAGGCCAGCGTGATCTAGGTTAGTCCAGCATGTAAGAGACAGGAACAGAGATAGCCCAAAACAGGGCGGGGGCGGTGGGGGGAGGCCCCAAAGTAGAGCCATGGGTCTCTCTACCATCAACTGACAGTTTTTTTTTTTTTTTTTTCCCTCTTTGAGCCCTGCTTCCTTGGGATGACAGTAGGACTAACTTCCACCATTGGCATGGGTCATGTGTCAAACCCCAGGGTTCCTAGTGTCACGGAACACTAAGGCAGGTGCCTTCCCCTCTCTTTTAAGTGGGAATGTTTGTAAGAGAGATTCAGTCCTGCTCCAAGTCTCGGCTTCAGGGAGCAAGAGGGTGAGTTCAATCCTTGATGTCAGGGCCACAGCCGTGTGATGACAGCTGTGCGTGTAGCTCAGAGGATGACAGGTGGTCAGTCATCTCCTTCCATTAGACGGGTCCCAGGGATTGAACTCATGTCTTAGGCTTGGCAGTAAACACTTTTTTACCCAGCGAGCCATACTTTACTGGCCTGGTTTTCCTTTCTTTTTTTTCTTTTTCTTTTTGAGGCAGGGTTTCTCTGGGTAGCCTTGGTAATTCTGAAACTTACTCTGGAGACCAGGCTGGCTTTGAACTCACAAAGATCTGCCTCCCTAGTCTAGTGCTAGGATTAAAGGGGTGTGCCACCATACCTGATCCCCCGCCCCCTTTTATTGACAGGCAGAATGGTTTATAATCCCCTGTCTTTTCTCTTCCAACTCCCCTATGACAAGGGTTTCACTGTATAGAGCAGACTGGCCTGGGACTTTTGATCCTTCTGCCTCAGCCTCCTGAGTGCTAGGATTACAGCCGTATGCCTCCACACATCTCAAGGTGACACTACCTATACCTACGTGCACGCACACGCAATAACTACATTAAAACATTCAATTTGGTCCAGCTTTTGGGGGGTGGGGTGGGTGTGCTTCTGTAATACAGGGAAAGCTGTACTATAGAGGAAAGCTACACGCGGTGGTACAGGCAGGCCTGCGATCCCAGCACAGGGACGTAGAGACAGAAAGGTCAAAAGTTCAAGGTCATCCTTGGCCATTTAACAAATGGAGACTATCCTGCCCTCCCTAAGAGCCTGTCTCCATAGCAGAAACAAAAATAACAGCGATGTGCACGTGTATTGGACCAGGAGCGCAGACTTTGCCACCTCAGTATGGTGACAAGAGGAAGTTCCTGGTTTCTTTCATTCTCCCACATCCCCAGACAGGGTTTCTCTTTGTGTAACCCCAGCTGTCCTGGAACTTGGTCTGTAGACCAGACTGGCTTCGAACCTGGAGATCCTGAGATTAAAGGTGTCTGCCACCAGGCCTGCCTTTGTTATTAAGTTTCAATATATGGAATTGGAGGTGGCAGGAACATCCAGGCCACGGCGACTTTTCATTTCGTCCTAGCGGTAGTCATCACTCTGGATGGTGCTGTAATCCCAACATCGCAGAGGCCGAAGCAGGAGGTCTTTGACGTAGACGCCAGCCTGGGCTACACAGTGAGCTCTAGGCTAGCCTGGGAAAACCCGGCCTCAAAAGTAAAAATAAACATGGCAGCGACAGTGGTGCTGCGCTTTGAACAAACTTCCTGAAATCAAAGACAATTCGCAAACGGCCTAATGGTTTACCTGAACTGTGTGCACTGGGGCTGACTGGGAGCGGGCGCAGTCCAAAATTAACCCCTTCCTGGCTGGATCTAGGGAGACCGGGTGGTGCAAGGCGTGCCCTTGACAGCTTCAGCAGAGGGAGAGGAGGAAGCAGAGGCAAAGTGTGCCCCCTTCGTCCCTCACCCCATCCTTCTGATGTTGCACTTTTCCAAGCGGGGACCGCGCGCCTCCGGGGTTCCCCCAACCCGCCCACGGGCGCTTGGCAGCGCCGGAGTATTGTCTGACTCGGGAACCCGGCGAACCCGCAGAGGGACGAGGGGCTGGCGGGGCCCTCCTTTGTGCGGCGGCCGCGCCAGGCTCCACCACTAGGGGGCGGCCTGCTCCCCACAGACCCCGACAATAGGAGAAGCCGGGGAGCCGCGCGGTCCCGGAACTTTCCCCGGGTTCGGCGGGCCATGGAGGAGGGGGCTAGCCCGGCGCCCCCGCTCTGGAACTGGGACTACCTGGAGCGCTGCTTCGCCCGCCGCCGTGTCTGCATCTCCTTCGGCCTGTGGATCTGCGCCGCCTGCTGCTGGATCGCCGCCCACGCGCTGTAAATGGGGCCGGGACCCGCGCGAGGGGTGGCGGGCCCCCCGCGGGGGAGATGGGCGCCGCTCGCCTCGACTCCCCCAGGAAACCCGGGGGAAGGGACGCAGAGGGGGCGTTCAGGTGGCCGCTCAGGTCCGGGTTTGGAGCTGACCTTGCGCTGTGGACTGAAGTGGAGTCCCTTCTGGATTCTGTGCACGGGCGAGCTGTGCTGTGAGCCGGCAGCCGGAGGCTGGGTGGTGCAGTGGATGAGGCTTGGATTGGCTCCTATTGTCAGCCTTTTCCTGCTTGCTGGCGGTGTGAGGGGAAGCAAGGTGTAAGCCTTTGGATTCAACGAGGCATGATAGGCAAAGGACTTAGTAAGTGCTCATTAAACACCATTACTGCTCTGGCTCCGCCACCCACCCTTAGGGACCCAAGCAAGTCCCTCGATATTTTCTACTTTTGATTTATCCGAGGCTGGGAAGAGGTGTGGCAGCGGTGATCTGACTACGGCCACGGTGTTTTTTTGCTTTTGTTTTTTCTTTTGTCTGTCTTGCAGTGGTTTGGCCAGGTAGCCCCTGTAGCTTGGGCTCTGAGAGTGAAGCGTCCAGGTCGTCAGTCACCCTGTCCCCATGCACAGAGCTCCGGGGAGGTGCCGCCCAACTGTCCCCAGGAGGAAGAGGGGAGAGGCTGCAGCATCCCTCTCCACTGCTGCATCTGCTCAGGGCCACCCCCTCAGCCTTCCCGTAGTGGTTCAGAGACTCTGCAGTCCCACTGCCTAGAGACTCGAGTCCAGCAAAGACACCCTGGGTCACGTCCTTGGTCCCTGCCTGCCCCACTCCCTAAGGCAGGTCCCGTTACCGTTTTCTAATGCGGTGCCTCCTTACTGAGTGAGTAATAATCCTCCCCTTCACCCAGGCGGGCTTCAGGGATTGAGCTGAGTTAGAGGGTACAAAGCAAGGGGGCTGTGCATCATCACCTCCTTTGTCATGGCCTGGCCTCCTTTGTTTCTCGGCCACCCTTTGCAGCCAACACCGTTGGGCATGCTTGCGGAGGTTAAGCAGCGCCCTGAGAATGCCTGGATGTGCAGGCTTGAGAGCGGGCCTTCTAGCTTCCACCCTGTCTCTGTTCTCTGGACTCCACCACTCCTGAACCCCCTCAGCCTGGGTCTGTCTGCAGAGACTGGAACTTCTTCCATGGTTTGGTGTGTGGGCTAGCTTAAGGTCAGTTCGGGAGTCCTGGCCTCTGAGAGCTTGGAGGACATGCCTGAGAGCAACAGAGCACAGGGCAAAGCCCCTAGCACGAAGCCATAGGCCTGCCGTCTGCTCACATCATTGCCCTAAGCTGCAGTTACTCCCCTCTCAGACGCAAAGGATGAAAGTACTGCCAGTTCAGGTCCAAATCTCTTCCTTGAGTCTTCGCTCTTTGACCTTGCATTGGTTTTAATAGCCCAGAGCTTCAGGCTTGGGGCTGACAGACCGAGAAGTGCTTAGCATGGTGGGTAATAACCTTCCTTCTGTACCTATGATCCCTGGGACTGATGCCTAGAACCTAGCCTATGGATCGAGCACCAAGCACTCTGCCTGAGTGGATGAAGCCAGAGCTGCTCCCAGCCCATTTCCCTATAAAAACCAGCAGGGAGATGGCATTGGTGATATCACCAGAGGCTCTGGCCTTTCCTAGTCTGCCCTGCCCTCTGCCTGACCCAAGTGTGTGAAGGGGGGAAGAAGGGGGGAAAGAGCTTATAGGCAGGAAAACTCAGTAGTTAGGGGACCTAGGGAGGGGCCCAGAGTGCCGTGCTGTTGTTCAGTTTTGGTTTCCCTGCGTTATGAACATGCTCAAATTGCTCAGCTGGCAGAGGCGGCCACCCACTGCACAGATGGATTAGATGGATTTCACTCTAATTTCAAGGAAACAAATCGCCTCTTAAATTTAGGCAATTACCGCTATAGTTAGCTGTGTTGCTAAAATGACTTTTAGAACCTGTTTCGCTTTCAGAAAATAAAATGCACAGCTGGCTTGTAAGGGAGGGGAGGGGGAGTTGCATTGACCCAGCCTGATTTGGAAGAGGAAAAAGAAAAGAGCCCCTATCTTTTCTTAAGGATAGGACCTACTATGTAGTGCAAGATGGCCTCAAACCTAGAGCCTTCTGGTCTCTGCTTCCCAAGGGCAGGATTACAGGTGTTTCTACACATGCTGAGGCCTGTAAGAATCGGTGGTGGTGGTGGTCCACGGTCCCCGCTAGGCTGCCCTTGCCCTTTTGTAGAAGAGGACAATATTGCTAGGAGGAGAGTTCCAGTTCCTGGCGGAGCCTTGTGGTTTATTCTGTTCTTTTTATTCTGACCTGTAGCTAAACCCAGAAACGTGTGCTCCATCTGAGAGGGACTACGTTTGACAGAACAGAGGTCACAGCTGCCTTTCCTAGGTGTCTCCTCCAGTCTAGCCTCAAACTTACCACCCCGTGTTCTGTTCACATCCCTTTCACCTCAGGATTCTCTACCTGAGATGCACAAAGAAATGTGGCCAAGACCAGTCGACACTGTACGCCGCGCTCTGCCTCCTGACGAGCCTGTGTGACACTTTGGGGGCGATCCTGGCCAGACAGCTCACAATCCAGGTACGACCAGCGCGAGCCAGGTTCCTGTCACAGAGGCCTCTGTCTTTTCCCTCAGCCTGCAGAGCACTTTCCTCTCAGAACCGGTGCCTCGTGCCTCGTGCCTCGTGCCTCGTGCCTTCTCAAGAATTCTTTCCCTCCATGTCCGCATGGCCTGTTGTCACCTCTTTCAAGCCTTTGTTCAAAGTCACCTGAAGCAAGGCGTCCCGGGGCTGCAGAGGTGTCCTGGTGGGTAAGAGTACACACTGCCCTTCCAGAGGACGAGAGCTTGGTTCCCAGTACATATGTCAGGTAACGCCAGCTTCAGGGGATCCCGTGGCTTCTTCGCCAAGTGTTCCCATACACATGGGGCACACACATAAAAAATAAAATATGCCCTCCCCTGTGTGGAACTGCAACCCATCTCTGCCACACGTGCGTCAAGACCCTTTCCCCTGCTGCTTTCTCTTAGCTCCCCGTGTGTCTTAGTCACGTTCCTATTGCTGTGACTAAACACCATGACCAAGACAACATATACAACTAGGCTTATGGGTGTAGAGAGTGGGAGTCCATGGTGGCAGAGCAAAGGATGGTGGCAGGGACAGCTGAGCGCTCACATCCTGAGCAGCAAGTAGGAGGCAGAGAGAGACACGGGGAAGGGCGTCCATCTTTTGAAACGTGAAGACCCCCTTCCCCCCAATGACACTCCTCTCCCAACAAGGCCACGCCTTCTAATCCTTCCCAACCAGTTCCACCAACTGGGAACCACGTGTTCACACATACGACCCTATGGGAAGCCATTCTCATTCAAGCCACCCCAGTGAATTAGTCTCATCAGAGGATGAATCAGAAGAACAGAAACTCACGGCTGTACTATCACGTCACACAGTTCATAGTAGATGCTCAACAAACAGTCAGCTGAGAGATGACATTCCCAGCGGAGGGCGATGTGGGATTTGGTGTAGGGAAGAGCTCTTTCTAGTTTCTCCAAAGCGTGGGCCCTCAAATAAAGGACTTTATCCCTAAACACATATCACAGGGAATATTTTTTTTGAGCCCGGCTGCAAGGAACTCATGATTTTGTTTTTGTGGCCACCCAGGCAGAGATAAAGGCAGGCAGCCTAGTGGTCAAGACACGGGTTCAGAGTTTTGTACTTAGAACAGTGCTGTACTGTCTCAGAAGCAGACTCCCTTTCCCACTGGCTGGTGTGATAGAGAGATCTCTGTTCGTGTCCAATAGGGCTGGCTGGCTGGAGTTGGTTAAATACTTAACCTCATCCTTGGCACTAGGGTCCCCCTGTGTACTAACTCCTTTGCTCCTGAAGTCATTCTGTGCTATGGGTCCTGTCGTCATTCATCCGCTACAGGTGTGGAAACTGAGGCACAGAGAAGCTTCTGTAAGGCCACCCTCTAATAAGTCCCAGGGCCAGGATTCCAAAGCCACAATGTACACTCTTCCCATGGATGATGCTTTTGTCTCTGGTTCTATTGACTTTCTCCAGGTCCTGGTCCAAACTCTTGCCATGAACTGTCTCCAGAAATCTGCAGGGAAGTCTGTAGGGAGACTTGGTGTGTGGCAGTTTTACAAGTGGGGAAACTGAGGCTCACAGAGCGTCAGTGTCTGGAATGTAACACCACAGCAAAGACTGCCCGTGCCGAGGAGAAAGCAGAGGGCTGGGCCCTCCCCCCATCCCGTCTGCCTGGCACCTTGCGACTTAGAATGAGGCATTTGAACACCCGGCTCCTGACCTGTCTCTGGGCCGGTGGAAGGCATCACTGAGCTAATGATATAGGTGGACATGCTGCCCCAGTGTAACCCCTGTGGCAGAGGGGATTCCAGGATGGCAGTGCTGCGGCTCCTGGGAGGACGGTACTTGATCGCTGTCTCCATTCACTTCCAGGTGTTCACTGGGGCCTACCTAGCAGTTGTCGACCTCATGAACTTTATGTCCATTCTCTTCCCTGTCTGTGGATTCAAATCCAAGTCGAAGTCTGGTGAGTAGGCTTATGCGGCCATCTTTTCCACCTTCATTCTTTTGTCCATCCTTATGGTTGGTGCCTATTCCTGAGCCAGATCCTTCTAGGCAAAGGAAAAAAACAAAACAAAACAAAACAACAACAACAAAAAAAACAAAAAAAGAGGTTTCTGAACTCAGCCACATGAGAAGGATGGGGCCCTAACTGGCAATTGGGGGATAGACTTACAGGGAGAGGTGAGCTTCAGAGACAGGAAAGCATGTGACACTAGGCCCTGTGGCGCAGGCAAGCAGACAAGAATGGGCCGAGGCCAGGAGCAGTGATGGTGTATGGCTTCAGGGGACAGTGTGCAAGTCTGAGTGACCAAGCCAAGCTACATAATTTCTGGAAATGAATGGCAGAAACAGGCATGGGTCACCCCTGCAAGAGCGGGGCTGAAGGGACCGAGACGGGGGGGGGGGACTACCCCTGAGTACACAGCATTGGGGGTTCCTGAGAAGAGAGTAGTGTTCTTAGACTCCTGTCCAAAAGCAGGATGGTCACAGCAGTGGGTCAGGGGTCATGCCCTCCACCCGGCTCAGGTAGCTCAGAGCAGCAATGCTTTTTGAAAAATGCTCAATGTGTGTCCTGTGTTCCAAGAAAGCCAATTGCTGTTTCTCCTGCTTACAGAATAGGTGGCTTGTTACACAGCCACCTTATGTGCTGGTGGCAGAAATGATTGGAATGTGGTCATTGATGACTGGAAGTCCAGGGGAGGAGCTGGTGTCTCCATATTAGCATTAAAGGATTCCTTCCAGGGCTGGAGAGATGGCTCAGTGGCTACGAGCACTGACTGCTCTTCCAGAGGCCTGGGGTTCAATTCTCAGTACCCACACGACAGCTTATAACTGTCTGTGACTCTAGGATCTGGTGACCGCTCTGACACACATACAGGCAAAACACCAAGGAACATAAAATAAAAATAAATAAGTAAAAATAATAAGCCAGGTGTGGTGGTGCACACCTATAACCCCAGCACTCTGGGAGGCAGAGACAGGTGGATCTCTGTTAGTTCGAGGCCAGCCTGGTCTACAAAGTGAGTCCAGAATAGCCAAAGCTACACAGAGAAACCCTGTCTCGAAAAAAACAAAAACAAAATCAAACAAACAAGGATGCCTTCCAAGGAAGATGAGCAGCAGCCACTGTGGGTGGGAGGCAGTTTCTGGAAGAGGAACTTGACCCCAGGGATTTGAAGGGGGTCAGGATCTGCTATAGCAAGCCGGAGAGCAAAGGCTAGAGTACACCAGCTCCTCCCACAGGATCATCATGGGGTTCTGGTGTGTCCTGCAGGTCGGAGCAGCAGGGAGAGGAGAAGAAGGCATCTTAGAGCCAGTGTCTTTGCCCTGGCTCTGCCGCTGAGCCTGGGTCCAGGCTGGGCAATCTGGGCTGCTCTCCCAAAGGCTTCAGCTCCAGTCCGAGGGCCACAGAGGAGGCTGCTGGGAAGCCTTCTGCAGGTAAGGCTGAAGATACGGGTAGTGCAGGTTGCCCTCCATCTTGTGAGTTTCCTTGGTGCCCTGGGAGAGGGTGAGGGTTCACGCCATTGCCAGGAGGAACCTTCCAAAAGCACAAGAGATTGCATCAGATCTGTTGCTCCTTGGAACATTTACACATTCTGCACATCTTTTCTTGCAGGAAAACCCGGAAGTCTTTGGCTACCTCTTGGGTGGCATTGCTGCCCTTGGCTCCTGGGCATCTCGGATCCCTCCATTCTCCAATATCGTGAGACTGGGCTGGGGCTGGGTCATCTTAGGGCCTTGGGAGGTCCTGGGGTGTGATATCCATGCTTATATTTTTCTGAGGAGACAGTGTATGACAGCAATGAGGGTGTGTTCTTGTGTGTGTGTGTGTGTGTGTGTGTGTGTGTGTGTGTGTGTGTGTGTGTGTGAAGGGCCATGGCTGAACAGTGGAGTTCTGAGACCTACAGGAGCCTTCCAGGAAGGCTGACATGTTTCTCCCTACTTCCTATAACCAAGGAAAAGTAGACCAGGAACAGGTCACAGGGGTGGGCCAAACTAGAGTCTCACAAGATGACAAGAAAGGCACAGGAAGTCCAACACAGTTAGCTACACAGGGTCTCACTGGCAGATATTTCCAAACGCCTTGGGCTGAGGGAAGACTTGCCCGCCAAGCCTGTTGAGGCCAAAGGGGACTTGTCTCTGGGGATCCGTGGCAGCCACAGGTGCTGCAGTGAGGACTCTCCTCTCTCTTCGAATAGTAGAAACAAGCGTTTGGGTTGGGAAGCAGGAGAGAAGGCCCCTGTGCTGTGAGGGAGCGAGGGCAGAAACCACTACAGTGTCAGGCTGCTGGAAGTCTTTCACAGTGGTTCTGAAGGGCGGGTGGGACCTTAGAAGCTAAGGAAGGACGGGCTGTCTGTCCACAAGAGGGCTTGGAAAAGCCACCACACAGGACAGTGCCTGAGTGAGCTTTGGGATTGGTGTAGAAACTGCCCTGCCGGGTTTTCTCTGGAGAAGACTGCTGTAGTCCTCCTGCCTCAGGGCCAGGGCCAGCACCAGCCCTGACACCAGAAAGTGAAACGGGCCTGTCATTTAGCCTGAAGAGAGCCCCTTTCCCAGGAGCACCATGCTTTAGCGGCAGGCCCAGAAGAACGGTTTCAGGGAGGCAGGTGGCTTGTGACAGCGTATACGGAAAAGCCAAGCTGTGTTTTGAGGCCTTGAAGTCCTGGAGTCCTGTCTCCAGGCTAAAGGAGAAGACAGAGATCCCTGGCTTGGCTACAGCAGCCTATGGGTGAGACTCCAGGACAGGGTAGAAGCATCACGTAGCAGGGAGCTCTTCCAGGGAACGAGGACAGTGCCCTAACTGCCTGTTCTAGTTCTCCAGGGCCTGCAGTAGGGTGGTCAGGCTGGGGAACTCACAGGCACTTCATGGCGCTGAGAGTCTCCCCATGTGTGGCGGGAACCATGGGCCAGGGACAGACCCACCCTCATATTCAGGTGGCCTCCACTCGCTTGCCTGGGTCTCTACTCACTGGCCTTCAGCGGACGGTGGCCAGAACAATGGCTGGGAATAAAACCAGTGGAGGTACAGGGGCTATGTGGCATTCCTGACAGTTTTTTGTCATCTGTGCTGTGCTGCGCATTTAGCCCAGGTACTAGGCAATCGCTACCACTGAGCTGCGTCCACAGCCCATCTGAGCATTCTTTGGGGAATTTAAAACAAAAATGAGAGAAAATCAGCCAAAACGCCCTTTCTCCATTCCTTAGCCAACACCTAAATATTTCTAAATATTCAGCAAGCAAATTTAAAACAATAGATTATACATGTTTTATATTTGCCTATATAAACTTAAATCTATATTGTGTAGTTTAGTACATAGTCTTGTGTATGCTCCTATAAAGTGACTTCTAAAATATTTATTAATCCGGGGGTTGGAGCCATGGAACATGTGTACCATGGCTCAGAGGACAACCATCAGGGGTTGCTTCTTTCTATCACGTGGGTTCCAGGATCCAACTTCAGTTGTCAACAGCCAGCGTCCTAACCTGCTGAGCCATCTCACTGGCCCTAAAGTGACTTTATGCCTATATAGACTACTTACATAAATATAGCATATGCTCCTTTTTTTTTTTTTTTTTTTTTGTGAGCCAATATCTCCATTGTTCATTCTCTCAAAATGTCCCCTTGGCTTCACAACTTCCAGAACGTCATCTCTCATTCCCTTCATCTCCCTGCCTGGTGTGGTTCTGTGTGGGAATAGCAGGATAGTGGCTGCTTATAACTCAGTCTCCCTCATCTTCCCCAGCTGGCATCCCCAAGTTCATACTTGTCAGGCGCTGAGCAATGAAACGGGAGGACCACTGAGTCTGCCCCCAGGAGCTCTCTGAATGTGTAACGTCTCGCATCCCTCCAGAGGGATGTGCCAGGTGTGACAGGTTCCGGAAGAGAATCAGTGCTTCATAGGGTGGAATAGTAAGAAAAGGTTTCCACTGTTAAGATAAAGCCGCGTTCTGAGGAGTGTGCCAGGTAAAAGTAGCAGCTCGAACAACAGCTAGACGCCTAGCAGGAGGAACGCCCTTTGTAAGTGGCTGCTTGTAGAGGCCTTGCCATATGCCACCAAGCGATCCGGTGTCTTCCTACCCTGCCCTCCTCTCTGCAGTGTCGAGGGAAGTCACTCTCCTACATCCACCTGTGGACTCGGTTCCTGTCAGCTCTGGCTGGCCTCCTCTACGCCTCGGCCATTGTGGCCCACGACCGGCAGCCCGACTACCTCCTCCAGGCCACACCCTGGTTCCTGATTTCATTGGGCCGAGCTGCACTGGACCTCGCTGTATCCACTCAAGCCTGGTGACTTCGGAGGCTGGAATTGCCTGCTGCCAGGGCCTCTATCCTACCTCCCACCTGTCATGTCCTCCTTTGGTCTTGCTGGGTAGCATACTGGCCCAGCAGTCCAACGAGTTGAAGCCTGGGACAGGCAAGGCACCGTGGCAGTAATCTGCAATTCTGTGCTTCCCCAGTTCAAAAACAGCTCTCTTGCCCAGAGCTCTCTGAAATAGCAAGGGAAGTGGGAAGGCTCTGAACCTCGGGGGGTCAAAGGGCACAGCTCCAGGCTCAGTTCTGCTTCCTACCAGACATCTCTAAATGGCTCCTGTCCTCCTGGGGAAGGAGCCTGACCCTCCTCCCCTTCCAGGGCTTTCTCTTGGCCATCTGAGAGGACTCTGCCGGCTGGCCTGCCACAAGGGCTCATTCTCCTTGGCTGGTGCAGACAGCAGAGCTGACAGCAATGCCTTCAACAGCTGGCCGCTGAGCCTTCTTGGCCTCCTGGGTCCCCAGATGCGCTGTCACCCGGGTGACCTTGTTTGAGTGCTTCAAGGGCAAGTGAAGCCGAGCAGGGGGCTGGGGGAGGCTGATGGAGGTGAGGGCAGCCTCTGAATGCGTACTTGCCGTGGTGGTGGTGGAGGTGGCTGGAGAGTACGTTACCCAGAAGCCCAGGATCAAAGTAGGCTATTCTTACGGCTCTTGAGAAGCTGCCCCCATCCCTTCTGATTACCCCGGACTTCCAGAGTATTCTGGCTGTGGCTTTTAAATTGTTTTTGTTTGTTTGTTTGTTTGTTTTGTTTGTTTGTTTGTTTGTTTGTTTTTCCTTTTTGGGACAACTTCTTAGTACATAGTTAAGGCTGGCCTTGAACTCCAGAGTCCGAGTCTTGGAAGTTCTGGTGTGTACCACCATATCTGTTTCTCAAGACAGGGTTTCTCTGTTTAGCCTTGGCTGTTCTGGACTCGCTTTGTAGACCAGGGCGGACTCACAGAGATCCGCCTGCCTCTGCCTCCCAGAGTGCTGGGATTACAGGCGTGTGTCACTGCGCCAGGCTGCTTTCCTTTCAAATAAGGTCACAGCCTGTGTTTTCACGTAGACACCATCCTACCCATCGCATGTGCTATCAGTGTAAGCCATGTCCTGAGGAAAAACGTTTTTCAAATGTTTCTGCCTCCCAAGCATCTAGCAGGCAGAAAGAGAGAGGAAAAAAAAAAACCGATCAGACCCTGTCTTCAAGATCATCTCTGTCCACCGGGGGATGGGACAGGGCAGGCCGCTCAGGAGGCAGGAGTGTGGAGAGCGCCACCTGGAGGCTGAAACTCCGCTTCCACTTCCATACACCTTAACTTCCACATCTCAGATCATCTTTCTGTCCTGTGTGATAAAGAGCAGGGTGAGGCGAGCCTTCAGATTTGCTGCGGAAGCCAGAGAGAGCGCCGACACACAAGCCCTTTTGACCTGTGCAGAGAAGGAAGAAGAAAGCCAGGAGGCCAGGACCGAGGACAAGGTCTCTCTGGGTAGAAAATGTCTGGTTGGCTGGTTGGGTGCACAGAGCAGGGGAGTAGAGGGGACAGGGACTTCTGGAAGTCATTCCATACTTGGTCTTTTAAAAACTACTTTTTATATCTAAGCTCACGTGATCCCAAATACAACGGGATCGCCTGTTTTCCCAGTCCCAAGAATTCTTTTAGGATTTTTGTCTTTTGGTTTTGATTTTGCTGCTCAAGGCCTGCCTGCTGCTGTGTAGTCGAATGGACAAGTAGCCACTGATGCTATTCAAGTCTTTCACTTACGGACATACACATCCACACACTGCCTAAGTGGATGTCTTCATTTTAAAACAGTGTGGGCTTTCCCCTCTTAGTTCATAAAGTCCCTTTATGAACTTTCCCATGGGTCTTTGAGGTCATCACCACCTCCAGACAGTTCCAGAGCCGTCGGCATGCTGAATGTGCCTTTGCACATCCGTGTGACAGTGGCTCTGGAAAAACTGTCCTGGGTCGTGGGGACCCCTGTGTGTGTGAGGCCACTGCTATCACGGCTTGGAGGCTGGCCTTGCTAGATGCTCACCTGAGGAAGCATTGCTCACGAACTTGCCCACCACTGCCAGCTGTAACTCACCACCGGTGAGAGTCAATAGGGCGGAGGCAAGTTCGTCTCCATTGTTTTTCAGGGTTGGGGATGGAATCCAGGGCCTCGTGCCCACTGCACACTGTCTCTGCGGTGTACCCCAGCCTCTTGTCTCTTTTTGCTTGACCCAAACTGGTGACTTGTGTGACTAACCGGAACTAAGGTGACGGTCTTCATCGAGAGACTGTCATCACTGAGGGCACTCATGGGAATTTTAAGACAGACAGCTCTGCCTTCACTAATTTTGGGACTATCGTGCAGTCACCCGCCTCTGGGCTCCTCAGCACTTCAGGCCCCTCTTACAAAGGACGGACAGGAAGGAGTCCTTTGCTGAAAGGAATGGCAAAGGGGAAGAGAGGGCATCAGTGAACAAATAAAAGAACTGCTCCCCAGAACATTCTAGGCTCAACAATGCAGCCTGAGCTGAAATAATAGGGGTTGGCATGGGTTATGTAGGCTCTTGGATCTGAGTTTGCGGGAAAGCTCCCCCTGGGGGAGGGGCCAGGGGAGGGGAATGCCACAATTTATTTCCTTCACTTTAGCAACTGGGGTGAAATTGTGCCTCACCAGGAAGCCTGCAGTACAGAGGTCTGCATGACTTGTAATAGGCCATGAGAAGCCTTCCGGTACCTGCCATGATCCTTATAGATGTGTTCAACATTTCCACATTGTCACCTCTGTTGTCAGTCACAAAGTTCACACCTGAGAATCACACAATGAAGTTACAAACACACACACACACACACACACCAATAAGTCTAACAATGCTTTAAGTAAGGTCATGATTCTGTGTTGGGCTATGTTCATTCATACTGATTGTTGGCTGTGCCCAGCTGGGGAGCTGTGGATTGGTCGCACTGACTGAGAGCAAGAGTTCACAAAGTGCCGGCCCCGGAACAGGTGTTCCTACTCTAAAATTAGAGGTGGCGTCTAGCAAGCTTTTCCCAAGCTTGCATTCAAGTCAGAACCATTGCTTTCAGTCAGACGTTACCCCAAACAGGTTGAGGTGGGCCCCACATTCTGACCATATGAAGATCTCTGGGAAGCTGCTTTTTCTGAGGCAGGGTCTTACTCTGGCTGGCCTAGAGCCCCCTATGTGGATCAGGCTGGCCTTGAACTCACAGAGATCCACCAGTCTCTGCCCCCTGAGCTGAGGATCAAAGGCGGGCGCCACCATGTCTGGCCTAAGGGTTCTTTTGAACAAAATGAGACCTTCCTTTTAGAACGTGCCTCCTGGCTTTAAAACGTCTCCTTCTTGCCTCTCTGTTTCCCTTTCAAAGAACTCAGATTGGGTGCCTCTCACCAGCCTGACACACTGCAAGCCTCTGAGGACAATGACGGCAATCAGTCGATACATGGAGCTGACCATTGAGCCTGCACAGCCGGTGAGTGTTTATGGGTCACAGCTGGGCATCCAGAATGATGAAGAAAACAACAACAACAACAAAAAAGCCTGGCAGACTTCCTGAAAGAGATGGCTGCTGGGATCCACTTAGAGTTCTCCAGAGTTGCAGTGAAGGGGAGGAAAAGTTCTTTTCCCTCTGCTGTCTTAGGTACGGCGGCTGAGGACCGTGAATGAAGCTGATGGAAGAGAATTTTGAATTGCCTCTGCATGGGTGTTTACATGTGTCGCCAGATAGTTGAAGCTTCTAAACCATTGCAGTGGGCTCAAGAAAAAGGCCTAGGGCTTGTCAGGGGGCAGGTTCGGAGAGGAGAGGGAAAGGGAAGTGTGGCAATTCAGGATTGTCTTTTTACACGGTAAGGGGCTTGGGTGAGGAAGGGACACAAAAGTTTCCTCCACAAACCTGAGTTAATTACTGTACAGAAAGGAAAACGTTACCATTGGCCACTTTTAAAGATTCTAGTTTTGCTGGGCAGCGGTCGCACACACCTTTGATCCTAGCACTCGGGAGGCAGAGGAAGTTGAATCTCTGTGAGTTTGAGGCCAGCCTGGTCTCCAGAGCAAGTTCCAGGACAGCAAGGCCTACACAGAGAAACCCTGTCTTAGTTTGTACTTATTTAAATGTTTCTCATTGTACCTATTTATGGGGTATGTTCCCACCCTATATCTTAGTACCTGATGCATGCTGAGACACAATGAACAACTTGGGGGAGACAGGGTTTATTTTGGCTCACAGTTTGAGGACACAGTCCATCATGATGGGGAGGTCGAGGCAACTGGTCACGCTGCATCCGAGGCCAGGAAGCAGGGAGAGATGGCTGCTGGCGCTCAGCTCTCTCCCTCTGTTCTAGGCAGCTTGGGACCCACCCCAAGAATAGTGCCGTCCACCGTCATGGCGGATCCCCCCACTAAGCTGACCTACTCTTCACAGGCCTTCCGAGAGACTTGTTTATAGGTAATGCTAGGTCCTGTCAAGTTGGCAGCCAATATCAGCCATCCCACCATCCCCTGCTCCCTGGCCGTTTTCTTTCTGCCTCCTCTTCTTCCTTTGAGTCCACTTTGTTTTCTTAGACAGTTTTATTTCTATGCTTATACCATATACGCATATATAACTGGAAGTGTCTTTACAAAATCAAGGAACTTGCAGGTGAGAGAAAGCATTAATAATTTACCTTTCCGGGCTGAAGAGGTGGCTCAGTGGTTAAGAGCACTGACTGTTCTTCCAGAGGACCCAGGTTCAAATCCCAGCGCTCATATGGTGGCTGACGACTGTCTGAAACTCTCCCATAGACATACATGCAGGCAAAACACCAATGCACATTTATAAAATAAAGGTAAATACATTATTAAATAAATAAGTAACTTTACCTTCCTGAGACTGACTGTAATTCTCTCAAGTGACCTCGGGTTGGCTCTATTTCCCTGCAAGTGACCCGATAGTGTTTCCCTTCATTCGTTCCACCATGCCTGTGAGCTATTGTCTTTACTCATTCTTCCGTTGCTGCGCACTAGGTTGGTGCCACAGCCCAGTGACGGCCCATGGTGCTGTGATGTGCGGGTGTCTCTGTGCCGCGTTCACTAGGCCCTTCAGGCTCACACCCAGGAGTGCCTTAGCTTGGTCGTGGGCTAGGTCAGTTTTCAGTTCTGTGAGACCCCTCCACCCTGACTTCCTGGCGGCTAGACTAGCCTAGATTACCACCCGTAAATGCATAAGGGGTTCCCTGTTGTCCATGTCTTTGTCAGCATTTGTTTTCTTTTTCATTCCCTCTCTCTACATCTGTTTCTGCCTGTCTCTCCCCATCCACTCACCCCTACCCCGTGTGTGTGCCTGTGTGTGTGTGTGTGTGTGTGTGTGTGTGTGTGTGTGAGTGCCCCAGTGGGGGCCAAAAGAAGATGCTAGCATTGGGTGGTAGGCAGCTGTGAGCCACGTGATGTGGATGCTTGCATCTGAACTCAGGTCCTCTAGAAGAGCCACGGAGCCATCCCCCCAGACCTGTTGTTTGTTTTCTCAATGACTGCCATTCTGCCTGGTGAGATAGAACTTCAATGTAGTTTTTAATGAACATTGCTCTGATGGCTAGTGAGTTTGAATACTTCTCTGTATGTTTATTGATCACTTATATTTCATCTCTTGCGGACTGTATATTTCATTGGAATATTTATCAGTTGAATTGATTGATCTCTTATTGCTTACTGTTTCCAGATCTTTGGATATCCTATAGGTTAATGTCAGATGTATAGATTGTTGACATTATCATTATATATTCCTGATAGTAATGTCAATTATCAAAGCTTTCTCTCTCCTGCAGTAGGCTGTCAAACACTTTTTAATTCATGAGGTTCCACTTATTAACTCCTCAGTGCCTGGACTCCTGTTCAGGAAGTTCGTGCCTGCGCCTCTATTTTACCTACGTTTCCTCTAATAGATTAAGAGTTTCAGATCTTACATTAAGGACTTATGTCCATTTGGAGTTTTTGTTCTTCATTTTGCTATTTTGTTTTCATGGTATTTTGTTTTGTTTTGTTCCCTTGAGACTGGGTCCAACTTTCTAGTTGGCCTGAAACTTGTTACATAGACCAGACTGACCTTGAACTCACAGAGATCTTCCAAATCCAGCACCATTCTACATGAGGGACTTGAATGCCTTAGGTTCCTGTATCCACAGGAGTCCTGGACAGAGTCCCCATTTTGAGGAATAACTGTACCTTTGGGCTGTTATACGATGGAATACAGTTTCCCGTTTCTCTTAGTTTTCATTTGTCTTTAATTTAAAATAATCTATGTACAAAAGAGAGATGTTTTGTTCCCTCCCAGAATGCAGTGCAATGTGAAAGATGGAGAGGAGACAGGTAGCATCACTAGCTGTAGCACCCAGCTGTCGGTTTAAGGGTAGTGACAGCTGCGGAGGCTAAGCTGGGGGTCACCTGGGCGTGTTTGAACCATCACTAGGCAGCAGATAAACAGGGAGAAAGGACTAGAAACAGCCACAGTTGTTGTGAGTCCTGAGAAGAGGTGGTGAGACTTTGAGCTAAGGTTTAGGCAGATGGCGAAGCAGAGAGTTCTAAGTAGAGTTGCGGAAGGGGCTGCAAGGCTCTGGCCTTCCTTCCAGGTCCTCAAGAGGAAGAAGGCTGGGAAAGAGGTGGCAGGAGTTTACCCCCTCATCCTACTATTCTGAGGTTTCTTGGCCAGATCACCAATGACTTCCACGTTGCTGAATCCTCAGCCATTTCTGTCTGAGACTCACTTGGCCCCTGGTTGCTGATTCTGTGGTTCCCAACAGTGTTTTCTGCCACCCTCCTACTCCCTGTTAGCTTGCCCTTCCAGTCAGAAAGTCTCCACCCTGCGGGGGAGTGCTCCCTGCTCTTTTGGAGCCCAGTCCCACCACCCACTTCTAGCTCGTGCTGACTCCCAGGATGTATCTGTTCCTCTTGACTTACTTCCGGCCCCAGATGCCCAGATGCCCGCTCACAGCACCGCATGGTGTCTCACACCACATCTGCACAGACCTCAGGTTTTCCCCGCCCAGATGGCTCCTTCGGCACCACATAAGGTACCGTCTCCATCTACGAAATGGTTCGAGCCCCAGATTCCCCTCTCTCTTCCCCATGCTCCATCCTCTTCCTGTCCAGTTCCTTCACTGGTCCTGCAAATGCTTCCTTTAAAATAGCTAATGAGGGGCTGGAGGGATGGCCCAGTGGTTAAGAGCGCTGACTGTTCTTCCAGAGGACCTAGTTCAATTGCAGGCATCCACAAGGTGGCCCTTAACCATCTATAATTTCAGCTCAAGGAGAGAGATCTGACGCCCTCTTGTGGCCTCCAGGCACACAAGCGCTGTGCAGACAAGGATGTAGGCAAGATACCCATGCATATGAAATAATAAAGTATTTTTGAATAAGTAGCTAATAAAGCCTGTAGTGGAGAAGCAGGGCAGAGGTCAGCAACCAGAGGTTTGGTTTTGCTTTGCTTCTGGTTTGCTTTGGGGTGTTTTGTTGTTGTTGTTTTGGTTTGGTTGTTGCTGCTTCTTTATTTGAATGGGCGTCTGTAAAGTAAACTGTTCTGAAACTCAGCTCCTCCTACCTCAGATACTGGGGTTAAGGGTGTGTGCCACCATGCCAGACAGGAAAGCTCTCTTACAAACATAACATATTTTTTTTCTTTAAAAAAAGGCTTATTCGTTATTTTATGTATATGTGCATGTATCTGACATATGTAAATGCGCCACATGTGTGCAGGAGTCTGTGAGGTGGGAAGAGGGTGTCAGATCCTGTGAGCCCCCAGCACAGGAGCATGTTGACCATGGAGCTCAGTGACCACCCTGCTCAGATGGGGCTGGCACAGGTGCTCAGGGGACTTGGGGCCTGACAACTGGGCTTTGCGGTTTGCTGGTTTCCTTGGATGTTGGGTGTGAATCCCGTGATGAAGGTCACCAGGGTGGAGTTTGGAGGGAGTAAAAGCATAGTGAAGAGGCCCCGTTAGCCATGAAAACTTTCTTCTGACCAGAGGGAAAGAAGAAGGGGAGAAGAGAGAGGGAGGGAAGAGGTGGGGGGTCCCCTTGGGAACAACGGTTTTAAACCACAGCACTTATGAGGGAAGTGTTTTCTGGTGTGAGATCTGGGCTGTAACTCGCTCAAAGAGCGCTTGCTTAGCATGCCCCTTGAAGCCCTGGGTTCCATCTCGACTACCACCACCACACACACACACACACACACACACACACAAGTGTGGAATTACGTTCACCTTCAGCCATGCCCTATCATGTGGTCCATACTGGGGAACCACCCTTTCTACCACCTGTCTCCAAGCCCACGCATCATGGTGTGTGTGTGGGGGAGGATGTCTCCCTCTTCTCCCCGACTAAAGCCCGCCCACCAGTGTGCTTCACCCAGCCCCTTCCAGCTGTGTCCACCAGAGGGCTCGAGGCCCTTCTGAGGTCCTGACCGTCCAGCTTTTCCTGCCCCACAGCCAGCATTTGCTTGGTCCTTATCATGACCCATGTGCGACACTGGCCTAAGCCCTCGCCAGAGGTTCATTTCAGCGCGGACCCTTGAGGTATTACTCTCATTTTACAGACTAGGAAACAGGCAAGCTTAAGTAACTGCTCAAGGTCACATGCCTTGTCAGGGGTGGAAGGAGGACCCAGGAAGTTCAGGGCAGCCACTCTGTGGGCAGAGGGGCCAAGGCTACGTGGACCAACAGCTCCACCCTCAACAGGGAAGTTTGCAAACCCTTGTTCTCTGTTGATTTGGGTGTAGATCTGCCCCCTAGGAGTATCGGATTTGTCCTGTTGCCCAGGAGTCACTTGCTTCCCTGTTCCACTCGCAGGCTCTGTTTCAGCTCCCTTCTGAGGGCAGCAGGGTAGCCCTCAGCTGTGTTCAGAACACTGCTTTGTCCCCTTGTGGACTCTCTCCACCTGTCCCGCTGACTCACATAGTATGATGCACACATTGTTTAAGGTCGGGGCATTCCCACTGGGTCCCTTTGTCATTGCTGAGATCACCACCCTCTTTGATTGGCTGGGAAACCAAGGCCCAAAGAGGACAAATTTCCTTCGAAGGTGACACAGTCAGATAGCAGGAAGCTTTGGTGTAGGCTGTGTGCGGCTGAGTCACTGTCTTGCACGCGACCTGTAATGAGTCAGTTCTGTCCCACCATGTGAGTTCTGGTAGGAACTCGGGTCATCAGGCTTGGTGGCAAGCACCTTTATCATCTGAGTCATATCGACAGACCCAAAGTATAGCCCAAGCAAGCCTCGAACTCATAATCCTCCTGCCACTTCCTCTTCAGTATATCCCCCCAGTTATGCCACCACAATCTTTTTTATTGTTATTATTCAAAGAAAGAGTCTCTGATAATCGGTATGTCCTGGATCTCACTGTGCTGCTGAGTATGACCTGGAACTCCTGGTCCCTCTACTTCCACCTCTCAAGTGCTGGGAATTGAGCGCACTCTCACCCTGGCCAAAGCCCAGAATGTTGCATGGCTCCGAAAGTCCAGTAGATGGCGCTTTCCTGACGGCTGAGGAGACTCTTCCACATTCTCTGTGCTCTGTGGGAGAGTAGATATGTTAGGTAGGTTGAAGAGAGATAATAGGTCTGGTCACAAGCATCTTCCTCCCGTATCTCCCAACTCTTCCACCACTCTTCCACAGGCTGCTCTGGTGTGAGCAGATAGGGCCTCAGTGGGATTTGTTTGGGGTAATAGCTGTCCAGGTTACAAATAGGTGGGGGTGGGGGGCACTTAATCCAGAAATTCCTAGTGATCCTCTTCTTCGTGCCCCGAAATTTTAGATGTCTGGCTGCTTCGAGAAAGCACCAGGACCAACGCAGCTTAGAAAAGGAAGGGTTTATTTGGGCTTCCAGTTCCGTAACGGTGAGGGCAGAGGCTGGCGCTGGCCACCGGAAACTGAGGACCCGCACCTGTTTGCAGTGCAAACATAGCGCAGAACAAACCAGCAGTGGCACGAACCTGAAAATGCCAAAGCTCACCCCCGCCGATGTACTTCCTCCAGCCATTCCGTACCTCTTAAACTGCCCAGACGGTGTCACCAACTAGGAACCGAGTGTTCAAAAGCCTGAGACCGTGAGAAATGTTCAAAGCACTGCTGTCAGCGCAGGCTGGAAAAAGAAGAGGTTTCAAAACCCTGAGTGCCCATCAGCAGGGGACTGGTTAAAGGAATTGTGAACATCTGTAATGCTACTCTTGACACCCCCCCCCCCATAGCTTACCACACAGAACTATGTCCAAGGCGTGTTATTAAGTGAAAAGAAAATACATAAGAGACTACAGAGTGTGCTACTGTTTGTGGAAGGGGGTACACATATGTGCACGTATACAGACACGAGGGTGTCCCTGTGGGATGTCTGGAAGGACTCAAGGGAGCCTGAGCGCTGCCACCTCTCGACCCTGACACTCACTCGCGCCTTTGGAATGCTGAAGCGCACGAACGCTTCGACTGTTGAGAAGTGGAGTAAGAGGGCTGGAGGGATGGCTCTGCGGGTGAGAGCCCTGGCTGTCCTTCCAAAGGTCCTGAGTTCAATTCCCAGCAACCACCTGGTGGCTCACAGCCATCCATGATGAAATCTGGCGCCCTCTTCTGGCCTGCAGGCACACATGCAGGCAGAATGCTGCATAGATAATAAATGCATAAATCTTTAAAAACAGAAAAGTTAAGGCACTGCCCCCCCGCCCCCGCCCACCCTCTCCTTCACTCCTTGCAGGCAGGCTGCAGTGCCACCAGGCTACCCGGGGACGGACAGACAAGCAGTGGCGATGCCCCCTTGCAGGAGCCTCCCTCCTACCCTCCCATCCAGGTCATCCAGGCCAGAGTGTCCTCAAGCAGCTCTTCCGAGGTCTCCTCCATCAACTCCGACCTGGAGGTACGGGGCCCTGCCCGGCGGGTGGGTGCATGGGTGAGTCACCTAGCAACTCTTGCTGGGGCCTCCTTGAGGCTGAACCGCTTTGTAACCCTGCCTCGTTAACCTCAAAACTGCTAATCCTGCGTGCGGCTCTGCATGGCTCCCGCCGTCGACGGAGGGGCCTCTGAAACTGGGCAGGACTCAAAGCAGTTCCATGGTTGGGCTGGTCGAGGGAGCGTGAGTGCCGAGGGCCAGTTCTCATAGACTACTTGTACATTCTGGTCCTTCCTACAGGGGAAAAAAAAATTCACCAGTAATATATCTCCTAAAAGCCTCAGTGTTGTGGCTCAGGATTAGACCACCCCAGTGCTCAGGTGGCTGAGGGTCATGAGTTCAAATCCAGCCTGGGCTACATAAGAGCACATCAGAAGGAAAAGAAAGGGGGAGAGGGGGGAAGGAAGGCAGGAAAGTTGGTGTCAGTGTTTGACCATAGAAGAGTTTCTTTGCCCCAAAGAGCAGGAACCCATAATGCTGGCGCTGACACATACAGCCAGGACCTGTAGGAGGCAGCATGCCATGCCCAGCCTCCATCTCACTTTGTATCCGAACAAAATGGACATCACATCAGGGATGCACAAACAGACAGAACTCTCAAGTGTGTCCTGTGGCCCCTGAGTTCCTGGCCCCATTCAACAAGGGAGTGTCCATTCGTCTGAGGATGGGGGAGAGCAAGGACAACACAGGGCTCACATGTATGTCGGGGAAGGATGCTGTCTGGCATTTTTGGTGGAGGGAGGACGGAATCTTGTGTCCAAGGCTTTTGGGTGTTAAATCACCCGTTTGTGGAGAGACGGTAGTAAGTAGTGCCCAGTGGTGGCGTGTAGGTTGGCCTTGGTTTGATTTTTAATGCCCCTATCTGGCAAAACAATCATTATACACCCAGAGTCTGAAAACTAGTCAGACTTATACTGGGCCCCCAAAATTCTAAAGGTCAGGACTCCTGACTGTGAGGTAAACCAGATTCCTTAGTGTGCCATTCTGCATGTTTCCAGCCTGTACACCATCCTGTCTCTGCTCATATATAGCATTCTGTCCCAGGCCTCTGGAGCTTCCTTCCTGGGGTCCCCTCTGGCCCCATGTCCACAGGTCAGAATTCTCTCCAGAGGCCTGCTTACATGAACCACCCTCCCCACCAAGGCCCAATGCAAAGTCGCCCTCCCGCTGCTGCCCGGAGCCCATTTTCCTGCCCACCCTCCACAGGCTGCCATGGCCTGGGGAGTGAGCGTGTGCCACCTGGTGTTCCTCCGCCCCTCACTCCTGGAACAGCTGGTGGTCGAGAGCTGGGTTGGAGTTAGGAATCGTGCACCTGGTGGGGCCATATTCCTAAACTGAGTCTGAGAATGTACGGGACACCAAGGAGCCTGGAGGCAGCAGTCTCCACTGAGAGCTGTAACTAAAGGGACTGTGGAGTGAACCCAAGCCAGAGCAGTGACACGAGGGCCCAGGGCGGAGGAGTAGGGGAACATTTCCTCTCTGGAAGGCACTGTGTTTCCTCCCTCTATAAGCTGGAGGCTACCCACATAGCTGGTCCCGGCCATTTCTCTGCTCTGCGGTTCTCCTTCTTCCTCTCATTAATAGCCTCCCACTTTCAAGAAATCCATTCTTTAAGAATACATAATACCCTACTGCTTTGGTGTCTCAAACCTGTAATCCCAGTACTCAGGAGGCTACACCAGAGGATAGCCAAAGGTTCAAGATCAGCATGAACTACACAGTGAGACCCTGTCTCAAAATACAACAAAAACTTAGAGTCCAAACTAAAGCAGTGGCTCTGGCTGCTTCTGCCCACATTAAAAGATTAATGTAGAGAAGCTGAGATGCCCCAGATTGGGACTCCTGCTCCATATCCTCCATCACACACAACCAGTGACACGACTGCCAAGGTCCCATACAGAGGCAGCGAACATGGAGCTGACAGCACTGAGCTGGTCAGGCAGGTGTGAGAGCTCCCATAGCAGTTAGCATGAGCAAGGGGTCATCACCTTCTCCCGGTGTGGTTCATCTGTCCTACACACTTTCTGAGCGAGCACGTGTATGTGTGTGTGTGTGTGTGTGTGTGAGAGAGAGAGAGAGAGAGAGAGAGAGAGAGAGAGAGAGAGAGAGGCAGGCACTCACAGTGTAGTCCCGCTTGGGCAGAACTTGATAGGCATGGGCTTGAACTTAAGGCAATCCTTCTGCCTCTGCCTCCCAAAGCTGATATTATAGGTGTGCACCACTGCATAAAAACTTTCTATTTTTAAAAGTAGTAAAAAATAGGTATGATGGCTCAAGCCTAAAATCCCATCATTCATGAAGCTGAGACAGAAGGATTGCAATGAGTTCAAAGCCAGCTGGGGGCTATATTGTGAGTTTCAGGTTAGCCTGGGGTAGTGTGAGACCCTGTCTCAAAAAACAAACAAACAAACAAACAAACAACAAAAAACAAAACAAAACAAAAAAACCAAACAAGCAAAAATAGTATCATATGCCTATAGTTCTAACTACCTGGGAAATTGAGAGTGGAGGATTGGAGCCCAGGAGTTGAGATCAGGCTGGGAAATTATAGCAAGAACTAACCTTAAAAGGTTAAATAAATGAATAAATGTAATAGACTAAATGAAATACACTTTTGGGGGCAGAACATTTGGAAAGTGTGAAGAGAGTAAAGGAGAAAGTAAAAATCAAGCACCAGGTCTATTAACCAGCACATGCTTCCTCAATGCAGTTGGCTCTGAGGGGCTCCTTCCTTGAACTCCTTGGCTTGTTTGCTGCTAGGTGAGATCAGGAAGGTGTCTGTTAGCAGATGGTGTAACTATACACCCCCCCCCCCCCCCCCCGGCAGCTGGTCAGTCATTCAGAAAACATTTTTCTGAGCGTGGGCATTTGAAGGAATGCCCATGAGGATAGCAGGATGGGCCTGAACCTGCCCCATGGCGGGCAACTACAGTGCTTCCTGGCCACACTGACTCAGATCTTCTGCGCTCTCTGCCTTCACCTGAGAGAAACGTGGGAGTGAGAGTCAGGCCTGAGATCACATCCTGTGCTCTTGACTCCTCTCATCCCTAAGATGGCACCATTCACCTGCTTGACGGCATTTAACTCAGGTATCCCTTCTTCCTCTTGGGATGCCTCTGCCCCTGTCCGGCCCCTCTTCCCTGAATGCACCTGAGGGTACTTTCCTGATCCCGAGATGGTCTGAATCTGTCCCTGACCACTGCTCTGCTTGACCCCTTAGACGAGTGAGTGAACACTTCCAGACTCCTACTGTCCAGGCCTGTGGGCTAGGAGACACTCAGTGTCTGTCACCTTTATCAGTTTCCCAACTTTCTCTTTTTGTTTTTGTTTGTTTGTTTGAAACAGGGGTTCTTTCTGTATCCCTGGCTGTCCTGGAACTCACTCTATAGACCAGGCTGGCCTTGAACTCAGAGATCTGCCTACCTCTGCTTCCTAAGTGCTGGGATTAAAGGCCTGCACCACCACCATCTGGCAGTTTTCTAACTTTCATAGAGTGGTTTTAGGTTCTTGGGTTATGTGTTTACTCTTGTGAACACTGACTTTCCTATCATACACTTGGGGAAGTGAAGAAATGAGTTTTCTCCATGTCCTGGCTAGTTTCAATCGTATATTGTATCCACAGTATCCCAGCACACCAAGTATTTCTAACACTGTATCCATCAGAATGACAAAGCGTGCTGATTGTGACTGTGTGTGTGTGTGTGTGTGTGTGTGTGTGTGCAAGGCCCTGGCAGAGTCTAGTAAATACTTCCCAGGCAGTCCCAAAGCAGATGTCTGAGGCTAGACGAGTCTTATTAGACTGAGGAAACATTAGAAAGAGCCAGGTAGAGCAGCTTACAACTGTAATCCCAGCCGTTGCCTGCTAGCCTAAACAGAGATAGCTGGAATCCAAAAGGAGAGGAAGAGGAAGCCAATCCGAGACTTGAACCTAGTGCCAGAAGCTCTGAAACCTGCTGTGTTTGCCACTGTGCTGGCAGAGGTGGTACCCAAGAGCATGGGCAGTTGTTCTAGATGAGAAGACTCACTTCTGCCCCAGTCTTTCTACTCATCTGTATTCTGCCTCTGTCCTCAGGGGGTGTCTTGTTCAACACAGAATAAAACATTGGGATCTACAGGGAACCCAGTGGTGGCAGAAGACATGAGGCCAATAAGACCACAGGTGCTGTGGACACTCCCCTGGGAGAACCATAAGGTCTTAGTCACTTTTCCATGGCTGTGATGAAACACCATGACCAAAAACAGCTTGGGAAGGAAAGGGTTTATTTGGCTTACATCTCCTGAATAACAATCCATTGAGAGAAGCCAAGGCAGGAACTCAAACTAGGCAGGAACCTGGAGGCAGGAGCTGATGCAGAGGCCATGAGGTTCTGCTTACTGGCTTGCTCCACATACCTTGCTCAGCCTGCTTTTTCATAGAAGCCAGGACCACCAGCCCAGGAATGGCACCACTCACAATGGTCTGGGCCCTTCCCATAAATCATTAATAAGAAAATTCCCTACAGGCTTGCCAACAGCCTGATCTTACCCCCACCCTACACACACAGGGTTTCTCTGTGTAGCCTTGCCTGTCCTGGACTCGCTTTGTAGGCCAGGCTGGCCTTGAACTCATAGAAATCTGCCTGCCTCACCTCTCTGAGGGATCAAAGGTATGCACCACCATGCCCAGCTATCAACAGCCCCATCTTATGGAGGCATTTTTTTCAACTGAAGTCCCCGCTCCTCTCAGATGGCTTTAGCTTATGTCGAGTTTGATATAAAACTAGCCAGGACATGGAGAAAACTCATTTTTTTCCTGTCTTCAGTTTCGGCACAGAAGAAGGCTGCTCCAGGGAGCACATGGGCACTTTTCAAACCTGGTTATGACTGATGGCCACACAGAAAGGCCACTCTCAGTATACTCAGGAGAAGGTACACTCTGGAGACTGGGAATCTACCCATTGTTCATGGGAACAGTTTGACACAAGGAC